GTGCAAAAATTCCCTAGTAAATAGTGTGAACTGGATATGTACACTTTCTGCATTAAAAGACAGAACCAATTTGTTATTAAAGTGTGTATACCAGTAAACTCAACCAAAGAGGAAGCATCCTATAGTCCAATTGACTCAAATCTTTTTCAACACATGGTAACTGAAGTTTTAATTTTCACCAATGTAGTGAGTAAACTGTATTTCACTGCATTCCTAACTTGCATTTTCCTACTTACCAAGACACATTAGCATCTTTAAATGTTTACTTCATATTTGACCTTTCTTTTCTGTAAAATGCGTATTCATTCATTATGCCTATTTTCTCAGATTATTTGTCTTTTCTTATTGATCTTCATCTTAATTCAATTATTTATATATTATATTATATTACTTGGAATGAATTTATACACACATTTATTTTTATTATACTTATATATTGACTAATGTAAAATATATATTTATGTATACTATCTGAAAAACATTTTGAATTTACTTACTTTTTCAGTTATATTTGTGGCAAATACCTTCTGTGAGGATGTGACTTTTATTGTATTTTTTCTTTCTTGATAGTGTATTTTAATTAACAAAAATTCTTAATTGTGAGGTAGTAGACTTTATCAATGCTTTCTTTATGATTAATAAAACTTATGTCCAAAAGCAATCTGTTTATTAATACACTAGAGTGTTTTAGTCCTCTTTGCACAGTAACAATAAGTCAAAATCTCAGTGGTTTACAACACCGAACATTTTTCCCAGACATATCCCATGTCAGCGTCTGTGAGGAGTTGATGCTCACCTTCTCTACATGTCTTCTAACTCTGGATCCATACAGAAGAGAAGCCTCTACATGACACATAATTGGTTTTGTGACAGAGAGAAGCATCCCAGAACTGGCAGAAACATGTAGAGGCTTTTAAGGCTTTGACGTGGCAGTATGCATATGAGCCACGCTACTGGCCAAAGCAATTTTCATGGACAAACACAATGTCAGTGAGTTGGAGATGCACATTCACTGCACATAATGTTTAGCAAGTCACAAATCAGCAGGTGAAGATACATAATTCTTTTACAGAAAGCAGGAGTGTATGTTTGGGAAGAATAGCAGGCTATATATTTTATTTTTATTAAATTTAGATTAAAAAATGTAAATGTATAAACACATCCAAATATTTTTATAGAACAATGACTGACATGAAGTACACAAAAATATTGTTATTTTTCTTTTGATAAAATATATTTGGTAATTTTCTGCTTTTAATCTTTTGTATATTACAGTTTTTTAATAATGCGCATATATTTTTATAAACTAAAAAATATAAGTGCTTTTTAAACTGTCATCTTTATACATTTTAAGATATTTCTGATTAGAAATAATGTATTAAATTTTACATTTCATTGACCATCAATAATTATTTTCACTGAAGGTAAATATTGACTCTCCCTTTAGATCAATAAATCATGATCCATTACTCAAGAGAAGTCAATATCTACTTTATTGTTTCTCTAGACTCCAAATGGAAACTTTGATGAATGTCTTTAAATTTTCTCTCAAGTTTCTGATGGAATGTTCTTTACCAACGACTATAGCTCTGAAAGTTGTACAATTAATCATGAAATAGGTCCTCATATCTTAAAAAGAAATGAACCAGTAAGTAGTAAAGAGATGAACTGCTCTGTTTTCTTTCTCAGTTATATATTAATGTAAAAAAGGAAGCTCATGCAAAAGAAAGTACCTCCTCTCAAGGTTTTTGTTACACTAGATTCTTTAATATTCTAATGATTTCCTGAAATCTAATAGTAGAGCTTATTCCAATATTCTTTTTATTTTTCTCTTATTTGATTAATATAGCTACCAAGAGTTCCTCAGTGATGATAGATTTCACATAAAAGTAAATATTTACTTCAAACTGTTTATCAAGAGAAAAGAATTCACACACACAAAGAGACAATTTAAAATAAGTATATTTACTTTTTCTAAAAAACATATTATAGAGTAATAATATACGAATATTACTGACTAAAATTAAAAAGAAATAGAAATTCTGTCCTGGCTGGTGTAGCTCAGTGGATCGAGCATGGGCCTGTGAAGCAAAGGTTCGCTGGTTCCATTCCCAGTGAGGGCACATGCCTAGGTTTCGGGCCAGGTCCCCAGTGGGGGACGCACGAGAGGCAACTACACACTGATGTTTCTCTCCCACTCTTTCTTCTTCCCCTCCCCTCTCTCTAAATAAATAACATATTTAAAAAAAAGAAATAGAAATTCAAGTCTATAGTGATTATTTTGATATTTATTCTTTCCATGTTGGTTATTGTATTTGTTAAGAAAAGGCTTAGGATTAAAATTTGTCCTAATTTAAATCACCTGAAAGATATTAAGTTTCATATTAGTGGCCATTGTTAAACATCAAAAGGTCTCTCACAAGCCATTCCTCTAAAAAAAGAATGTTTCTAATTTATAGCATTTTAAAATTAAGTCTACTGTTTAAGTGTTTCGAAGTTGTTTATTTGCACAAGTTTTTAAATTCCTCATTTAGGTCATGTTCAGCTCTTTCATTTCTTCTTTTGTACTGAATGAGGAAAACAAACAGCTCCATTGCAATGATCTATAGTTAACTTTGTAATCAGTAGTTCGGGAAGGCCACAGAATGTCAAAATTAAAAGACTAATTCACATGAGAAAACATGTCAATAACAGCCAAAAACAAAGCTAGTCACACTGAGACTGTCTCCTATCTCAGTGTAACCCTGTAACCTGAAACAAGCGCTAGGTTAGACCTTGAACTTAGACTTATTATTTGCTGTATTCCTCTGTGGCTCCCATGCCTTTCCTTCTCCCAGATAACTCCTACTGATGCTTTTGAATTTAGCGTAAACATAAGGTCCTCCAGGGTCCCCTGGCTGACAAGTTCCCTTCATCAATGTATGTCAGATGCCTTTACAAGGTGTTTTTATGAGTTCATTTAGCCCTTGCCACTTTTATTTTCTATACTCATTATAATTGACACTTCATTAATTGTTAACTTTTCTGCTAAACCCATAAGAATAAAAAGTTCTTGAAGAATATAACTGCCATATCTATCTTCCCATTAAAATATTTAATACTTTTTAATTAACACAGTAATCTATCAATGTGTGATTGTGAAATATTGGTTCAAATGAGTTAAATTGCATTTAAATGATAAGAAGCAATATAATTTAGTGGTTATAAACATAAATAATCCAGGCTGTTGGTTTGATTCCCAACCTTCTTACTTAGTAATCATGTAATCTCCAGCTAGTTGTTCAGTCTTTCTGTGCCTTAGTTTTCTCATCTATAATGTAAAATTTATATTATTGGGGTATCATAAAAATTTCCCTGGCTGGTGTAGCTCAGTAGATTGAGCTATGGCCTATGAACCAAAGGGTTGCCAGTTAGATTCCCAGCCAGGACACATGCCTGGGTTGTGGGCCAGGTCCCCAGTAGGGGGTACTTGAAAGCCAACCACACACTGATGGTTTTCTCCCTCTCTTTCTTTCTTTCTCCCTTCCCCTCTCTCTAAAAATAAATAAATAAAATATTTTTAAAAATATATTTTAACATGTATTAATGCACAAATCATTCTATGGAATAAGTTTTACACTATCATATATAGATGTATTAACTAAGTTATGTTAAAATATTTACAATTCAAAAGCATAAGGTAAACTTACAACTATTCTAACCCAGTACAAACATGGGACACAAAATGAATTTAATTTCTAAAATATAATATTGGCATGTAAATTCAACATTTTTACTATTTTTCCAGATGGTCTCCTGCCTTACTCACAGTTACAAAGTTATGGTAATTATGCAGTTGCAAATATATAATGCATTAATCAATCTATTTGGAAAAATAATATACAGATCCCAAAACACCAAATAATGCCTCCTTTTTGTTACAAAATCTTTTATTACAAAGTCATAAGCACAATTCTATAACATAATAATGTCACACTCAAGCACACTATATTATGTTTTAAGTGAAATGTTCACATTAAAACTATAAATTATTACACACACATTATTACCCTACCAGCCACACTCGAGCAGTCATTACTTCTGCCAGACCACTAGAATGCCTAAATTCACTCATCACCATTAAACGCCCTGTAGAATAGAAGCTAAGTTATGTGCTCTGATGTAGCTTGCATTCTAGTGGGGAGAGATAGGCAATAGAAATAAAATACATAGGTACTAAACAAATATGAGGTACTGGTAAGTGCTACATAGAAAATTAAAATAGAGCTACGAGATAGAGGTTGTCCGTGTGGCTGCCACAGTTTGAGATGTCAGGGAAGGAATCGGATACTTAAACTGACATTTAACAGAGATCAGAATGACAAGAAGGAGCCAGCCTTGAGAATATGAAGCAGAAGCATATTTTAAGCACAGAGAATAATTTCTGCAAAGACTTGGAGATGAGAACAGGCTTGCCATACTAAAGAAACCAAAAGAATTCCAGTACTTTTCAAACAAGTAAGGAGAGAGGGATTCAATCTGAGGTCTGAATGTTTAGCAGGAACCAGTACATATGTTTAAGTTTATAAAGAGTTTGGCAATCATTCTAAGTAAAGAAAATGATAAGAATTGTTAAGTAGGAATTAGCATGCTTTGATTTAACATCAATGCCATTTTTCAGATCACGCTGTGGACAACAGAAGGAGACAGCAAGAAGTAAAGCTGCAAAATTAGTGAACTGACCCCCACCGTGATCTTGCCCAGACATCACAATGACTTGGATTAGGTAACAATAGTGTGAATGGAGAGAAGTACATGGACACATAGTAGAGGTCGGGGTACAGGACTTGTTTATGGGCTAGATGTGAAATGTTAAAAGAGTGTAACCAAAGTTAGACTAATGATTTTTGCTTTAAGCTCTCGGGTGGACTCTGGTATCCTTACTGAAATGGTGGCCAAAAGCAGGTTTGAAGACTAAAGGCAAGAGTTCCCTTTTGCTAACACTAAATTTAAGACCCTTAGTGCTCCCTTCGGTAGCACAAATACTAAAAATTGGAACAATACAGAGAAGATTAGCATGGCCCCTGCGGAAAAAAAAAAGGCTAAAATTCTAATGAGAACTCAAGACTTCAGAGACAGATTCGGGGAGCAGATCCATGCTTAATATTCGGATTTGGGAGTCATCATCATATTAAGTCAGTGCCTATGCTGTGGTTTCATTACTCATTTCAAATGTAATTAGCATCTAATTTATTTCAAGTCTTTTTTTCTGATTTCATACACAGCACTGATTTGTGTGTATTTGAGAGAGTTAATGTAATGCCAAACATTGCTCTTCTTTTATAATTCAAGCACTTTATGCCAAAGCAGGTATACTTCAATTTCAGATATTTTTTCACTATGACATTTTATCAATAGTCATTTGGCAACTAGGCTTTTCCAGATATGAGAAGGAAATAGATAATTCTCAAGTTACTTGTGACAGATACTGTATTGAATTGATTAATGAGCTCATCCTGCTTTTCAGTTCACCATGAGCTTTAATTCATCATCATGAATTGCCATTAAGATTACCAAAAATTCTACAAAACAATGTTTTGTATGTAACCTCAATGATCAGCTCTAGTCCTGCAGGTATATCATTTGAAATATGATATCACTATACCAAGAAAGTACCTAATTTGGTTTTAATGTATTCTCAAACTTAGACAATAAGATACCTAACTCTCATTTTCTCATTAGAGTTCCAAATAAATACACACTTTCTCCAAATCCAGAAATAAGAAAATGGTCTATTTCAATACAATTCAAGTTGCTGATTTGCAATAAAAATAAGATTGGCATTTCAGCTAATTACATCTTACTCCATATATTATTCATTTGTCAATTATCACCATCATCTGCAGATTCTCAAGGAAGAAATATGGAAAAAAATATGTTGGAAGAGAATTGGACAGCAGGAGGTATTTCAAAATAGAAAATTTGAAGAAAAAAAAAAAGGAAAAGAAGCCAGGGGTGTGCAGTGGCTCCAGAGAAATGGAGGTGGCTTTAGATAATGACATTTCTGGGGAGATATTGGAGGGACAGTTGGACACTGCTTCAGGGTGCTTAGGAAAGCCCGAGAGCTGATTAACAGGGTTTATGAAAACAGTGATGTTGAATAACCTTCCTCTAACACTCCCTAAGGTGTGCAGTATGAGTGAAGTTGTATCCACATATAAAAACATTTGCACTTTTAAGTGTGTTTGGGAGGTTTACACGAAGTACAGTATGTTACCTGGCCTATTAAACTCACTTGCTGCCACCCACTTCACTAGCAATTACAGGCCCTGTCCACTTCGTGAGGGGCAAAGTGACTCATGTGTCTGAGATAGGTGGTTTGACTGCATTCCCGTATTTAACTTTAAAGACCAAAAATGCTATTTATGGTTAAATGCAGTGTAAAACGCAATGTTGTCGTTGTGTTAGCCACCCCGTTTTTACTTTTCAACAACTTGAGAGATCTGCATGTGTGTGCTCTGCCAAAGTCTTGGCAAGAACTCCAGAGTTTCAAACAAGATCAACATATTCACATGCCATGTTGTATAATAGACATTTATACTTAGGGTTAAAAATTTCTTTATTTTTAATTGCCTGATTATGTTCCTGTTGGGGCAATTTAAAATGTTATAACTTTATATACCTCCCTTTGGAAAAATACACTTTTTTCATACAGCATCACTCTGTGCCTTAGAAACTAATCTGTTTGCTTCATGAGAACAAAGGTGGAGATGGCAGGGGGCATACAAATTTACTAGCTTCTAAGCAGCAGTACTAATACCACAATGAAACTCAAACTGTTTAATTTTTTGGCAACTGAATAGACAATTGCCAGCAAGTGATCCTCATTTTTTCCTGACATCCCATTTCTCTCTCTGTTCCTATCACCTACCACTGTGAATTTATAATTGCTAACAAAGAATTGCAGTACTTTTGCCAGATTTAAATGGATTTCACAACACACTGATGCAATTACATGCCCTTTCCTTAAAGGCTAAATGTGTATCTGCTCCACAGTGTGCCACATGGCAACGGAGGAGAATTTCTGACTTGCTGGTCTCCTAAGTTAGTGAAGAATGCCGTTCTCCTCTTATATACTTCTGCCCAGACTGAGGATATTAATTTACAATGGGAAAGAAATAAAGATTTCATTCTATCCATTTAGTACCACCAAAGCTGAGAGAGGTCATGCAATGCTTTGGGTCTAGTGTAGATTGACAGGCAACATTCAGGCAAGTCACATAAACACTCAGTTTCTTAATCTATAACTTGAGATGTTAAGACTTTAAAGTCCCATTTATAGGTACCACTTACATATATTTAAAAACTCAGGAGCAGGGCCTGAGACCAGTGGCTTGGGACAACTCTTCAACACTAGTTTCCTGACTTGCTCTTCTGTCAGGCAGTATCATTTTCTTGTTCATCAGTTCAGGGTTAATTGGAGTTACAAACTAAAATGTTATTACTTGCATACAGTATTCTCAAGTTGACTCTAATATTAAACTGGGACCCCTCATGCTGAGTGTCTCTTATGAGGTCAGATTTCTTCCTCCATCCATCCCTAAGGAAGTAACACAATATAAAAACAGTTAGCTAGGCACATGCAACTGTGCTGGAACAATTGTCCCTGATAGTGGATTACCAGCTGCTTGGAAATGGGAGAAATTCCCCCATTTTGCTCTATCTCCAACCTTGGAATGTGGATATAAAGTGAGCCTAGTAAATAGCTTCTGTTTCCATCAGTAAGTAAATTACAGGCATGTCCCACAGGGCAGGCGGGAAATGTTTAAAACGATTTATTGACATACCCATGAAAATAGGCAACATCTCAGACTTAGATTCTTTGCTGTTATCTTTCTTGTACCCTGAATAAAACCACTCTCTTCATAACCATTAGCAGAGGTTGCAGTGATGCATCATAGTAACTTGAAGTCATGAAGTTTAACATATGCCAAAGATCATAAAAGTTCCCCATAAGAAAACAAAGCAAAGGAAAAAAAAATCTGTTCTCACTTGATCTGGCTTTTAAAGAACACCATGCCATGTGATAGATAGCATTCAGCCATTTGTTGAATTGCATTCCTGCAACAGAAAATTAGAATTTATAATGTTGTCACTATTTCTTAATCGAACTACTTGACACTTAAAATCCAATAGGGGTATAAACAAGGAAATGACTGTTTCTGCAGCCACCGCTTGGGAAGATGCTTTGTGCAATCTGTTGGCACTCTTTTCCTCATTTCTTGATGAGATACTAGGCCTAAACCATGGTGTTTCTTCTTGTTTACCAGCCCCCTTTCGTTTTTCCATCTTGATCATTTCTATGAAAACAGTCCATTTCAGTTATTTTCTGCATCAAAAGCTCCAATCCAAAGTAAAGCAAACCTTCATTTTCAAATGCAAGTCAGCTAAAATCTTGTTCTTTGACCCATCTTTCCACTCCAACTCAGGTCTGTCTCATGCTCACAGGTGTTCTATTTCTGAGCACTAAAGATGTCAAATAAGTAATCTATAGGGAACTAACTACAAAATCATCCCCTGAAGTTTCTGGCAAAGGACAGTGTGTCAATACACACTGCTTTACGAAAATCCAGTGTATATCACATTTATTCCATAATAAATTTTTAAGAATATATGTAATTTAGGATATTTTAAACTTTAAAATAAGATATTTTAAACTTTATTAATTTTGCATAGGTAAAATAATTAAACAATAAAAAGGGTAAAATAGAATGACTATATCTCTCTTCTACCATCTATTAATTCCAAACCACAGTTGCTTTTCCAAAGGTTAAGGTTATTTTCAATTCTTTCATATTCTTCCATAAAAAAGTTAGGTAGACCACAATATCTACATACATTTGATATGCATTATATTTACACAAACATGATAATATAAACACTGCCCTACATCATATTTTTCTCCTATACTTTTTCCATATCAATATGGTAAGATCTTTATTGTTTGTAATAACTATATCATATCCCATTATACTATATAATTATTTATTAAATGGACTTTTGTTCATTCCCACATTCTTATTTAGATTTTTTAGCAGTTTTAAGGGTTTTTTTTTAAATGAGCAGAATGAACACAGAGTTCTCCTATACTACCTCATCCCTCCCTCCAGTTTCCCCTCTTATTAATGTGTTCCATTAGTGTGGTATATTTGTTACAGTTAGTGGGCCAATATTGGTATATCATTAACTAAAGTTCATTAGGGTTCACTCTTTGTATTTTATATATATTTTTTAAATTTATTTATTGATTTTTAGAGAGAGGAAGAGAAGAAAAGAAACATCAATGTGTAGTTTCCTCTCAAGTACCCCATCTGGGGACCTGGCCCACACCCCAGGCATGTGCCCTGACTGAGAACACTTTGAACTGGCAACACTGATTCACAGCCCATGCTCAATCCACTGAGCTACACCAGCCAAGGATGTATTTTATATTCTATGGGTGTTTAACAAATGTATGACAGCTATCGGCCGTTCAAGTACAAAGTCTGTCTAGAAAGTGTCCAGTCATGTGCTATGAAAAATAGAGATGTACTGAAGAAGATAAAAGACATAGAAATATTGTAGATAGAACAATGATGCCTCAGTCCCCTTCAAAGTAGGCACCTTGGGACATCACACAGTTCTCCCAAATCGCTGTCAGGTGCCTCATCACATTTTTCAAAATCTCATCAATGGTCTGAATCTCTTCGCTTTCAAAGGTGATTTTAGTTTGGGGAAAAACCAGAAGTCACAGAATGCCAAATATGGGCTGCAGAGGGGCTGAGTCACCTGTGTGATTTGATGTACTGCCCAAAAAAATCTGCATGAGACATGATGCAGGAGTGGGTGCATTGTCATGATAAAACTGCCAGTCACCAGTTGCCCATGGCTGTGGCCTTCTGAATCATCCAAATAGCTTTCACAAAAGAATGTTTAAGCTTAATCCAAAATTTGATACAGATTTGTTGCTCTAGTCACTCAGTCATTTCGAATGTGACGGCCACCCAGCACGCCTGCTCACTCAACAGCATCTACTGCCCCCACTGACTAGTACAGTGAAGTCCTCATTGTTCATGCATGTGCATTCCAGC